AATCGACCCACTTCTTATTATTCGGAATAACTCTGGAAAATGAGTGTGGCCCCTAAGCCACAGCAGGGGTATTAACAGTTCATATTTCATAAATATAAGGATGAAATAACACATGTATACCTCCTAGCACAGGGTAAACACTCAGTAATTCCTAGCTAATACTAGTATTTTTTAAAGCGTAAATTAAAAAGCTACTTCCTCCTCAGAACCTTCCAGTAACTTCCCATCATGCCTGGTGTAGAATACACTCTCCTTCCTTTACCCAAGGTGGCCAAGACATAGCTGACCCCACTCCTCTCTCCTGCAGCCTCCAACTCACCGCCTCCCTCAGCTTCTAGGTCCTCTGTCATTTTGTGCGGGGAACCTTAATTATGTCAACTCAATTGGCTGGGGAGCCATCAGGGGATTAGCAAAATTTACTTCTGGGTGTGTCTGGGTGGGTCATGGAGGCACTGCCTTGGGTGTAGTATCTGGTCTCTCATTCTGTCCTCTCTGGTGCTGTCCCCTGCTCTGCTTCCTGGCCACCATGAACTAAGCAGCTTTGCTCCGCCACACCCATGGGCCATGACATTTCTGCCTTGGAGCAAGTCAACCATGGACTCAATCCCCTGAAACCACGAGCCAAACCTTTGCTCTTTTAAGCTGTAGGTGTCAGTACTGCGTCACAGCAACAGGAAAGCTGACTAATACATGTTCCTACCAACACAAGCTCTGTCCCTCCCCTGAGCACATGCCCACGCATGCCCTGTGCCTAGAAGACCCAGCTCTTTGAAGGGCTTAGACCCTATGTACCTAGAGACTCAGATCAAAAATCAGTTTCCCAAAAAACATCAGTTCAGAAAAGCTTCCCGGCCACTTTATCTGTTCACTGGTTGAATGCTCGTCTCCCTTCCTTGAATGCCAGCTCTGAGAAAGACGGGGACTTGTTCTGTTTGCCCTTGTGTTCCCAGTGGCTAAGCGAGGCTCCCCACATAGCGGGTACTTCTTAGCACTCTTGCATGAATGAACTGCTTCTTCTCAGGCGCTGGTCTTCCAGTAGCACAGGTTAGCACAGCCTCCCCTCCTCCATGCCCGAAGTTCCTCACCATGCAGGGTTGGGCATGCTGCTGCTCTGCCATGTGGCGGCTGTTGCTGGGCGTGTGTGTGTGTGTGTGTGTGTGTGTGTGTGTGTGTGTGATTACAAAGGTCCTTACTGAAGAAGGAACTGTAAAGTTCTTTAATAGCATCTATTCATTTGGCTAATGTCCAAAGAGCCACTTAATGGCTTCAGCACTTATTCCCACTAAGCAAATGAAGGCATCTCCACACTCACTTGGCTCTAGGTTGAGTGGCCCGCTGACTTGGTCCCTGCCACCACTGGTACCACACCCCAGGGCTGTGCAAGGGCAGCCAGTGCACGGGAGAAAGGCCAGGCGGAGGTGGCCACAGAGCTGGCAACACCAGACACAAGGCCAAACTGAAGTGCAGGACTGCGGCGAGGTCAAAGAACAAACAAATGGAGTCAGGAGGCCTGGGTGTCAGGGCCACCAATGTGATGGGCTGATTTGTCCTCTCCAAGGTCACGCTGAAGTCCTGATCCCAGTGCCTCAGAGGTCTTCACAGAGACCATTAAGTCAAGGTGAGGACCTGGTGTCCTAACAATGTGACCCATGTCCTTGTGAGAGGAGGAAACTGGGCCACCTGCTGTCGCCTTGGCCTCAGACTCCCACCCTCAGAACTCCGACAGAATAGGCATCTGCTGTCTACGCCCCAGGCAGTGAGGCCGGCCTATAGCAAACGAGCACAGGGCAAGGCCTCAGGCTCCCAGGGCCTCAGTCTCCCGCACGGCAGTGGGACATGCTGGCCTCCCGGCGCACGGGTTCGCCTGGGGACTAGGGCTAAGGAGACAGGGTGGGGAGGTCTGCAAACTGCAGAAAGCTCCGCGGGGCTCTTCTCCTACACAGCGGGATCTAGGGGTCCCAGGTAGCAGAGCAGCTGAAGTCACGGGGCGGGGCGGGGGGGGTCCCCAGGCAGAGGTGTAAGCGCTGGAACACAGCCTGGGTGCAGCTCCTGCTCCCAGAGTGGGGAAGGGAGGAGAGCTGCCTCCTCCACAATGACTCAGTGCATGTAGAGAAACAGAACTTGCGTGGGAGAAGGGAAGGGATCAGAACAGAAACTAGGGATCTCTTGAGAAATTCAAAGGGGAAAAGACCCCATTTAAGTCCCTAGGAGTTTTCCAAATAAACACAACTTTTAATTGTATGGAGCTTGCAGGTCACAAAACACTTAAAAGACAGTAAATTCTCTTTAACCTACTGGGGCCAGGAATCCCTCAGGGAGTCTGGCAAAAGCTATGGGCCTTCTCCCCAGAAAGAAACCAACCCACGCAGGTGACATGAAACATAACACAGCAGCACAGTGCAAGAGGAATTTCTGCAGTGATGGAAGTGCTCTAGATCCACTCCGTCCGGTGTGATATCCACCGGCCACACTGCAGTGTCCTCCTAACCCTAACAAAGCAATGACCCCCTTGAGCTGCTCGTGCTGCCTAACCCACCAGCAGCCCTCCTTGAGGACAGGTGAGGTTGCCGAGGCCGACTTGCACAAAATCCCTGGATTTGGGGCTGCAACCCACATCTGTCCAACATGCAGACTCAAATGCTTCCCTGTGCCTTTGAAATAAGTCATTTCTAGTCACCAAGACAACTTGAATCCATGCAGCTACGCATCTTGAAGGCTATAAAGCAAGGCTTCCCTTCTCTGGGAAGCCCAAGCGGCTGGACTGAAGCTGGCCTGCCCTGACTGTGGAAGGTCCTCCACTGAGGGTCATCTCCGACCGGGCCCTGGGCAGTGGCAGTTTCCTGTCCCCGTTCGCCTCAGCCAGTCCCTGCAGCGGGCACAGTGCTGGCGCAGATGCACTTGACTTCCCACTGCAGTGGCCTCTCTGCCTTCCTGGTGGAGCTTCCTGGTCCAGGCCAGCAGCACTCAGAGCAGTGCTTGGACCACGCAGGACCCAGCCGGTCCACACCACATGGGCCACCATCAGCCTGGCCCTCAGGTCTCCATGGTAACCAGGCCACCTGCAGCCAAACCCTCAGAATCCCGTAAACTCGCTTTTGCCCTGCATTCCCACCTGCTCCTCGCTGTAATGTTTAGAAATTCCCCTCGTTCAGCAGCATGTTCAGGTTTATCAGCGTGGAGTTCCATGCTTGTCGACTCTTTCCCCACAAAAGCCTCCTCAATGTCAGCCCAGACACCGTGCATCTCCACGATAACTCCTAAGGCCCGGGCCTCTGGGGTCCTGGCTTCTGCTGCTTACGTGGCTGCGTAATACTTCCCCGCACGGCTGTGTGTTTCCTGATTCCAGAGCCCACACCACATTCATCTTTAAGCATCCTTTCGTGGGAAGAGGGCTTAACAGGAAGCAGACCCTCTGCAGATCAATGATTCTCAAACCTGTGAGGGCACAGACTGCCCGACCGCCCCAGGTTCCCATTCAGCAGGCTGGGGTAAGGCCTGAGAACTTGCATTTCTAATCATCTCAAGCTGACCCAGGGGCTGCACCTTGAGAATCATTGCCAGCGATGTTTGTGAAATGAATACATGTCTGAAGGAATGAAAATGTCCCTTGAAAATCTTATTCCCCAGTGACTCCAGAAATGAGCTTTGGAAAGACAGGGATAAAAGATATGCCAATATTTACTTCTAGATAAGAAACAAAAATAAAAGCAACAAGGGGGGATGGCAAAAAGGATGAAGGAAAGTTAAACACCATCTGGTGTCTTAGCCCTACCTGGTAACCCCTTAGGATCTCCCCAGAAATTAAAAATGGGTTCATTTATCTGACTGTACCACATATGCAAAAGTATCCTGGGAGACACTTGGACTCATTAAGCCCAAGACTAGGAATTTTTTCATAAGAAAATAATCAGGAAATGATACAGAAGGAAGACCATTAAACCCTGTTCATAGCAGCCAGAAATTTGGAACAACTTGAATGTTTGGCGACAGGAATGAGATTCAATAAATTATGGTATGCCCATAAATGAAATACTATAAAGCCTCTTTAAATGTTGTTACAAACAATATTTACTGACATACAGAGAGAAACATGATGTAACATATGAAAAGCAAAGCAAGCTAAAAAGCAGCATAAACAATGTCATCTGATTTTGGGTAAAAACCACATATAAATAGAGAAACAGGTTAAAAACAGAGACACAAGTGGGGTAATGTATGAAACAAGGGGTTAGAAGAGCAATTATTTTTCAATTTTAACATGTGTATTTCAATCACATACATTGCCTGTGTCATTTCTTTGCAGGATATTAAAAAATAATGACAGGCTGTGAGAGATTTATACTCTGTTTCTTCTCAGAAAGAACCAAAAGAGCTGAACTGAAGCAGAAGCATTTTTATAAGCTTTCCCCACCCTGCTCTTTCATAAACACCAGCCACAATTTGGGCTCCATTTTCAGAGCATCTGCAGCCCCGGTTTTTTTTTGTTACTGGGGATCGAACTCAGGACCTTGCGCTTGCGAGGCAGGCGGCGGTGCCACTGAGCTAAATCCCTGGCCCTCCAGTTTTTCTAGGCACTTCCTGGGCCTACTCAGAGTTCATTCCCAACTCAAAGAGCCGAACTTAGAAACTCTTCATACCCCCAGCAAGGTGATCCCGTTGAGGAATGACAGTGACCATATACATAGCTGCTGTTACCTGGTCACCCAGCAAGCTGCCGTCTTCCAGAATCCCTGGCTGTCTTGCAGACTGGCTTTCAATAATACAGGTTGCTATGCAACAGCAGGGACCCGGGAAGATGGAATAGGGGCCTGGCAGAGAGCTGCCCCATGTGTGTCTGGCTGCACGCAAGGTAACCGAAAGAGATAACAGTGGGCTATTTTTGCATCATGAGGAAACATACTTGGCTCCAGCCCAGCAGGGCAATTACCTATGAACGTCTTGGCAGCCCCTGAGGTGTGGAAATGGTAACTGACAGGGGAGTGAAGAGAGGCATCACTGACCTTCATAAATACTGATGATGTGAGGATGGCTGAGGGACGACATGATCTCAATCTCTCGTCTGATGTGAACCATGTCTTGTTCATCCTTAATTTTGTCCTTACGAATGGATTTTATAGCAACCTATAAAGTCAGGAAATGAAACGTTACTTAGAAAATAAAAACATGCAAATCAGCCACGGGGTGGGGGGCGGGTGAAGAATAAAAACAGATGTTACTTGTTGGCAAAACTGACAATCACCAAAACAAAGTTCCGAAACACCCCCATCCTGTCTTTCATTCAGAGCAAAAACATCCTTCCCCAGCAACAGAAAACACCAGCTTTAATAGCCTAGGGTTTAGGGTCATGGGTTTTTCATTAAAACACAGGCTGCCTAATATGGCCAGATTCATTGACTCTAGGAATCCTGATCCTTTGAGAAAAGAAAAGAGGCAAGCTTGGTCTAATGGCTGGCCTTGTTTAAACATGGGTGGGGAAATGTCGACCACATTTCTAATGTGCAGTGATGACTTTTTAAAAGCGTTACTTCCTTGCCAATCTCCAGGCCAGTTCCGCCCCAAAGCTTGGGTTTTAAGACTCCAGCCCGGGCTGTGTGCATGTAACTGCTCCAGACCAAATCTTTCCACATCCTCCCCGCCCGAGACACCTTCCACAGCACGCGGTATAAGACGAACCAGGATAAAAGGGAAGCAGTGGCACCTGTCGGGTCTCCCCGCCCAGCCCGGCAACTTCCAAGCTCTGTGCTGCTGTCGTGTGCAAACCCAAACAGCACAGGATCGCCAGGGCCACTGCACAGCACACAGAAATAAAGGGCATTAATGACACCGGAACCGAACCAGGAAAAACTCCTCTGCCAACAGACCCGTCTTTGCTCGTGACAGGCTGGGCATCTTTTAACCCACTTTGGCTCTAAGGAGGGGAAACTACACGGGAAAGAGGGCACCCACAGGGAAGAGGAGGCCCACTGACCAGTCTGTGCCCCAGCCCGAGAGCCCAGAGGCAGGGAAGAGGCATAGGCCGTAAGCAAAGCTCGCACCCATCACGACCACTCCTCGAGCAGCCAGGGGCTACCCCGCAGCACTGGGACAGGCCCTGGGGGGGGGGGGGGGCTCCAGGCACACATCAGCGAGCAAGGCCGGCCCAGGACTCAGGGGTCTGGGCGACACAGCGCAGGCACCTCCATAAACGTTCCGAGTCAAGACAGCGCCGTGCGCCTTGTAAAACAGCTGCTTTAAACACGGCCACCGCCAGTGTAATGTGTAAACCGCACGCGAAGCCCACACCCCGTTAAAGGTGACCAACTCGGCCTCCTCTGGAGCTGGCAGTTTTCCCTTTTCTTTCCTTTTTTGAAAAAGCACCAGAAAGCACCTGCTCTGCAGCCACCGCTGTGGTGCTGACAGAGGCAGGCATGGGGACAGCAGGGACGCCTCACAGGTCTGTTTCCCAGTCTGTAAGACGGGGTTACAGTCCTGCTGCCGGGCTTCTTGCTGAGGAACAGAAATAACTAAGCGCTTAGCACACGGTAATCGTGCACTGATGGACAGTGACTGAACAAGGCTGGGGACACAGGGACCCAGAGTCGGGCCACACTGCGGTGACAATCCCGCAGCACACTGTATCTCAGGATGCTCCTCACACCCACACCACACACACCCTCGCCCTCGGGGCAAATGCAGGGTAAAAGTAAAACCCAGCAGGGCAGGCCACAGGAGCAGCAGGGAGCATCGGCCGTCTGTGAGGCCTCGGGGGCAGTCCCAGGCCTCTGCCCCGTGTGCCAGCCAGCAGGGGACTCCAGGCCCAGGGCACCTGGTATCCTGCAGGAGTGCACTCAGTCCGCAGGTCTGGCGGGGCCAGGACTCCGCATCTCCAGGTAGCTCTCGGGGACAGCAGTGCAGGGCCTCACTGCTGCGGCGCCCTCTTACCCTGGACAGAACTCTCAAGGGCAAGAGCGACTGACATTTCCATGGGGGTCAGAGGGTAAAGGGAACGCTGAAGTTTATGGTGAGAGGCACACTGCCATGAACCTCCCTCAAAATCCTCCTCCTCATTTCAAACACACTCATCCCATCCTTCTGGCCACTTTCTGGAGCAGCTCTGGAGTCCTCTTTCATGACTGTCTCTATGAGGGGTGATAAAAATACAGTGAATGCTGCTGTCGCATGCCGTCCAGCGAAAGGCTGGCTCCCCAAAACCTGACACTGTGTCCTCACCGTCCTTATTCACCAGATCGGGCACCATGCAACTTCTGGCTCTTCCCCAGCATCAAAGTACTACGAAAGGGAAGTATTTTGAAAAGATTCAGGATGCTGTGATAGCCACAACATCAAAACTAAAGACACTCAGGAGAGAGGACTCCAGAGCAGCCTCAGAAAGTGGCCAGAAGGATGGGATGAGTGTGCTCAAAAGGGGGAGGACCTTGAGGGGGATTCATGGCAGTGGCTTTTACTGTAATTCATTTTTTAAACTTCAACATCCACTGTAGTTTTCGGTCACACCGCCCAGCATTCATTTAGTCCTAACAACAACCTCACTACCCAGGTAACAAAGCCAAGGCATAGTGAAAACAAACACTGCCAGAGTCAGAAAGCTCGTAAAACAGAGCTAGAGCTCCGGGCAGCAGCTGAGCCAGGCCGGGGTACTGGCGACCATGAGGGGCCAACACGGCCAGTGACGAGGATCCTGAAAGAACTCCAGAGCCGGCACGGACACGGCTTCCCAGGCTCCCAGTGAGGTCCCAGACGGCAGCCTGGGGGAGCCTGGGTCACAAACAGGCACAGTTCTCACACCGAGGACAAGCGTGCCTCTTGGTCCTGGCAGCGCGCCCTGCTGAGCTCTGCCACTCACAGGCTGTGACCTTACCCGGGCATGGGGCAGTGGGGCAGCTCCTCCACTGGGACCCTGGACCCTGCAGGGGGACAGGCGGCCCACCTCAAGCAGGAGCCACCTCCGGGCTTCCTGGGCTCCCCTGGGAGCTGGACGGAGTTAGTGTGGGGCACAGAGTTGCTGCCTGAGCTCCCAGATGGCCTGGTCACCGGCCGCGCCACCCAGAAGCCCACGTTTCAGTCAAAGCCCTGAATTAATTCAATGAGCCTGCTCTCCATGGGCAGGAGCCAGGCCAACTCCCCAGGAGAGCAAGCTGCCAGGTCACCCCCGGGGCCTGGGCTGGCTCCTCTTCCTCCCCGCCTGTTGCGTCCTGTCTCTACAGGGGTTTGCAGCCAGGAGTGGGCTGGCAGCCAAGAGTCGCACAAACAGGCTCAGGGGAGAGACAGCGATGCCAGGGACCCCTCCCTCCGAGTGGCATCTCGCCCCCACCAGCCACAGGCAGCCCTCGCTCACTCTCGGGAGGCTCTCAGAAACCTGTGCCTCCCTAATCAGCTCTCCTCCTCCAGAGCTGTGTGGGACGGGGCTGGGGACACCCAGATGCTAGGGCTGGACGTTCCCACTGTGCGGACAGTCGCCCTCACTCTTTGGTCCCCACCCCGCCTGCCCAAGCTAAGAATGTCCCAGCTGCGTGCCCGAGTCCCCAGGAAGGGAAGCGTAGCTAAGAAACCTCGGCAGATGGCGCTGGAGTCTGTGAATAAGACAAGTGACCACAGTCGACCAGGCAAGGACAGGACGGGCGGGCGGGCGGCCCTGCCCAACACGAGCCACGCGCCGGCTGGAGGACACCCAGGTTCTGAGCCGACCATCTGCCACAGGCAGGTAATGGCTCACAGCCCAGCTGCCCGGCCGGGACAGAGGACAGGGAGGTGAAAATGCAGCCAACGGGGGTCGGCGGGGGCCAGATCTGCAATCGCATACCTGATGACTGCGTGTCCCCCTGAGGTCTGCGGCCTGCCCTCCGGCCAGTGTGGCTGGCTCTCCCATCACTGTCTGACTTCACCACGACGCCGTCATACGGCACACCGGGTGCTGTGTTCATGAATTCATGAACTGCCGTCTACACAGAGGGCAAGAGAAGAAACAAGCCATCCCTTAGGCGCCACCGTGACCCAGGTGAAAATGCCATGAGAAGTCTGGCATTTTCCACCATGCGGCCGGGGCAGCTTCAGGTCGTTCACACCAAACTCCGATGGGGCAGAGCAGATGTGTTCACACTGGCAGTGCCGCTCCCCGTAGGGGCTGCATCCCTTACCTTTACTCTTACAAGTCTCCTGAAGCCAAACTCAACACCAGATCGGCATCTCAAGAGCAGCCGCTGTTCCCCAGGTACAACTGCCCTGAGCAGCGAGGGAAAGGGAGGACCCAGCGCCTGAGCTGACGCCTGAGCTGGGCAGCTGCTGGTGGCCCCTGTGCACGGTCTAAGGCCCAGCCACTCACACTGACAGACCTCAGAACCCAGCAGAACCTGCCCGGAGCTGCTCGGGAACCAGCACCAGCACAAGTCTCCCCAGCACCCTCTGAGACTCAGCCAGGCGAGTCCACCGGAATCGAGTCTCCGACTCAGTTTCCCTGGGCAAAGGAAGGTGACAGCAGGGCGGCCCAGGAGCAGGGGCTGGGGCAACAGTGAGTCCTACCCGACTTCAAAACGACAGAGGGCAGGGCCACCGTGCCAGGTCACCAGCAGCACAGCCATCACCGGCAGACATTGGAGCTTCCAGGGCCTTACCATGCTCTGCGCCACCTCTGCACTGGACAAATGGGGAAACTGAGTCTCGGGAGGTTAAAGTGCGGGCCCAAGTTCACAACATGAACAGCAATACTGGAACTGCAACGAGAGGGCCCCAGGTGCCCCTCTTGGAAGGATGAAGGGTCCAGGCAAGGAATCCCAACCGACCGAGTGCAGAGCCACAGCTAGGTTTATTAGCATTTCTTTAAGTGCGCGGGCGGCGGCAGCAGCAACAGACTCCCAGAGCTGTTGCGTTATTAATACTGAGGGGGGGAGTGACAGACACTCCTAGGAGTGCTGGCAAATTACGATAGGCTTTGCTGCAGCCTGGCTCCTGGCTTCACCTGCATGGGATTCCGGGGCCGGGGAGGACGCCCCTCACAGAGCTGAGCAGGGACCCTACATCCAGGCCAAGCCTTACCCCAACTCCTGCACCCCAACTTGAGTTTGTATCGTGTTTTTCTTAATTCACTGCAATTACTGCTTTGTAAATATCTGCTTGGAGCCGCTACT